TGTGTTGGTTCCAGTGTCTCGTCCACTCTGTGATGTGTTGGTTCCAGTGTCTCGTCCACATCCACCCTGTTTCTTTTTTTCCATTAGCACCAGCACTAACGTCATCAGGCAGCGGCAGCACAGTGGACATGACTGATAGCTGCAGCGCTAGGTCCGTTCCTCAGTGCTTTCATTAGGCTGCAAACAGGAAGCAGCTAACGAGCCAGGCTGCACTCATTATTATGGCAAACAACACAAACATTCGTTATCCTAATCATCCGAATACGGTCACTGCCCTGTGGAGTCCGAACACACACATCTCCATACATCACCACGCCGAGGATATTCATCAGCTTTTAACTGCCTCCATTTGGAAAAAACAAAGTGTAATGGGGCACATTAGCACAACATATTTCTTCTTTATTAGTTTAATGCAAATGTAGGACAAGTCTGCTGCGTACAGCCAACATTCAAATTGATTTGATTTTATCTGTAGGGCTTTTATATGTGTTTATGTTTCACACTAAAACACTGATGGCTGATATTCAACTAAAATAATGTTTATAAGACCTCAGGCAACCATTTCCTCCAATGTAAGCCATATAATTTAAGCATTGTGATTTTGAAAATCCTTAAAATGAATTAGCAGATCATATCTATAATCAGTTTTAAATGTCACTGTATTATTTAATCTGCTGTCTTTAGTTTTAGAATTTGTATCATTCGCTGTTGTTGATGTTTTGTTTTCTTCTTTGTAACAGTTTTAACAGAATTTATCTAAATACAGTAAGTTTTATTTTAATTAGCCTTCATGTCCCTGTTTCGTTTCATTGCTGTTAACCTATGACGAATTAAAACCAAGTCTTGTGTCACATGATGGCAGTGCCCGTATCAGAGATATTAAGGAGGAGGGGGACAGCGTCATCCATCTTTATTTGCAGTCAATGTCTCCAACCGATAAAACCCAGACGTCCTGAACATGTGACATATGTCAGCTTTGATTTTACTCTTTGAGATGTTGAGAACCTTTTAATGTGAAACATCTATCTTAGAAACATCAAACTGAATTAACAGTAATTCTGCAGGGACTGAAAAAAAACAAGATGTGAATAAAAATAAGAGCTGCAGAGTTGTGAGCATATGAGCTCCACTGAAACGTTCTAACGTTCCTTATATGTGTTTATCTATACAGCTGTAATCTGTACAAAATAAATATACAGAGAAAGTGCAGCATGTAAGTAAAGTGTTCATTTTATGGAAAAAGAGAGAGATAGAATGCAGACTGATAGAGGGATGACTTGCAGAGATTAATCACAGATAGCTGCAGGCTAATCATGATGAGATTTCAAATCCGTCAGCTCTGAGATCTTTCAAAGGGAAGAAATGACAGAGAAACACATTAAAAATCTACTCATCCTCCGTGTGTTTATCATAAATATGTCTCATAGAGATCAACCTGAACATATCAGCTTCACATCAGTTTCAAAATGTGGATTTCTCCTTCTTCCTGCATTCCTTACTTTGTTTTTTTCTTCCTTCCTTCCCTTCTTTTCTTTCTTTAGCCACCGGCACATGATAAAGACAAGGAAGAACTGGTCTTTTCTGTGAGAGGTTAGGGTTAGGGCTAACCCTAACCCTATTCTATACAGACAGCTTCCATATTAAAACATAACCATGTGTCAGAACACGACACTTTATGATCCAATCTCAGAATATGAAAGTGATGTGAAAAGAGACTCAGAGGGGACACTGAGACAAAGACATGAAAGGAAAGAGACGAGCTGGAGGCCCAGCTGGAAGAGACTGAAAACACCCAAAGGTTGATTCTCTCCTGAGACTCAAACAAACAGCTGCTTCTGTTTGATGTGAACTCTCCGCTTGTCTCTGGGTCATTAAAGGTACAATCAATGGTCCGACTGCAGAGAAAGTCAAATACAGCAGTGGTCGTCTCATCGTAGAGCCTGCATTCAAAGTGCTGCTCATCAAAGCCCTGACATATATTCTGTCCTCACTCTCTGTGCACTTAATGTTTTCAGCTCCTCTCCTACCACAGGAACACATGAAATAATGACAGAGGAAGAAATACTCATGGACTCACAACACAAAAACAGATGTTTGCTCTGATAATGTCTCTAATCCTCAAATCCTCTTCTATCCATCATTTTGTCTCCATCATTGTCCTCTCACATGAACTCTGACAAGGTCTCCTGAGGATCAGGCCTGGACACTGTCCACAGTTCATACACATATCCCAAAACCGAAAGTGTGATTGGTTGTTAACATGGCGATTGTGCCATCGAGGCATCAGACAATTTCTCATGTATTTATACTTTAAACATGAAGTCACAAACTGTTTCTTCTAATGTAGAGAATCTGTTGTTGTGTTGATGTCTTCAGTTCATCAGCATCTATTGTCCTCGTGTCCTGGAGACGGATCCTCACATGTGACTCTGAGCTTCAGTTACTGCTCAGAAAGTGTCTCTGTAGTTTTAACTTGTTGAGTGAAGGACAGAGGACGACTTGTTGACATTGATGAGACAAATTGGATATGAGACAAATCAAATGTGACTGATTTGATTGAAACAAGGAGAACATACAAATGACACAGAGAGAAAAACTGTACCACTGCACCACCTGATGTTGGAACATGAACACTATATTTTTACTGTTTACCACTTAATCATCATAACTCACACTGTTACTGCTGTTTTCTGACAGCTGAGAAAAATGAAGGGCATCTGAATAACGTCCTCACTGTCTTACAGCTGTTAGTTTTGTAATGATGGTCAATGGGGATATATAGTTGATGTGGTTTATGTTATGTGAGTCACTTCAAACACTGGAGCTGGTCCTGGCGGACAACGTGACGCTGACTCTTTACAGACGGGATCCAGCCTCATGAGAACAACACAAATGTTTAGAAGGAAAATCTGAGCTTTACGCGTAAGAATCATCAAAATGGCTTATACACAAATTATTAGTCATTTATTTTGTAAAAATAGTCCCTTATTCAGTAAGAGCAACTAATGTATGCAGACAGAACTGTGGAATAACACTCTTAGATTGTTCACTCTGAGCTTAAAATCATGTTTTTATTGTAAAAAGATGCCAATATTTTGTAAATCTACTATGATTACAACAAAAAATGATTTTATGTGTTGGCCTCTGAACATACATCCGATCAGCTGCTGTTCAGGAGGGTGGATTTACCTGAATACACGAGCAGCTTCAATATGAATCCAGCTGCAGCTGAGGAGCAGTCAGACAATAAATACAGGCATGTTTTATTTATGAAAACCTCCTGAAGCAAACAGACGGCTGCGATTTTATATTTCATGACTGCTTTTGATTGTGGATGTGATTCTCTGTCCGTGAGTTTCTGCAGACAAGAGGTTCTGTCAGCCAGGGGATGTGGACCATTTTTTATTCTACTTTATTTATTTTTATTGTTTCAGGGGGAGGCTGTTAACAGTTTCAACTCAGGATCTGTTCTTTATTTCTTCCCTTAGGTGCCTTAAGAAGTTATTTATTTTCCACACAACTACGAACATGAAAGTGTGAGGACCTGTTACAGGTTTTAATACCAAAGTGCCGTAGGGGTAATGTTGGATCAGCTAGCAAAGGTTTTAAAACATTAACCCGTCATTCTTTCTCCTTCCCCTCGGTTCATGTCGTCTTTCTACCGGACCTAAATAAAAAGAACTCCCTCCTTCGAGGAACTCACCAAGCACGCTGAGCTCTGTGTGTGCAGTGATGTTGTGGTTCTTGTTGGAGGCGGTACAGCTGTAGCTGCCGGAGTCATCGTCAGTGACGCTCCTGATGATCAGATTACTGCCCGCCAGCAGGGAGTACTTCTTATTCCTGCAGTGACAGACAGAGAATTAATTTGACTCTGTTCATGTTTGTTAAAGCAACTGATAAATCACAAAATACATTTGATTTCATTTGGGGGGCTGTGGCTGAGGGGTAGAGCGGTCGTCCTCCAACCAGAAAGTCAGCAGTTCAATCCCTGTCTTCCCCATCTGCATGCTAAAGGGTCCTTGGGTCCTTGTACATGCTGTACCCTGAATTGCCCCTCATAGAACAAAAAAGTGATGCTAATAGATGCAATGTGTGAATGGGTGAATGACAAACTGTAAAGAGTGTCATCAGACTAGAAAAGATCTTTATAGACACAAACCATTTAACCGTACTTGAAGGATGAGTCTGTTGTTTTTGTATTTTCTCTATGTCGTCAGCTCAAAACAAGCATAGCGTTAGTTCATCTTCACTACAAGTGACATTTACCCTCTACCACACAGATTTACTAAAACAGCTGCTCTACTAAAACTGTAGTTCAGTCAGGAACACTTTGTCATGATTTAATTATTTATTGCACAAGGGTTCTCTGGATTAGTCTCACAGCATGCTAAGATAAAACAGGGAACATGTGCAGAACCCCCAGGTGGGCGTAGCAGGCAAGATACTTTGAGACCATGTTTGGACTCGGTGCTAAAAGGTAGAGGCTGGGGTGCTGCAGGCAAGTTGCCTGCAGCAGAGCGTGAGTGGCAGTGTAGCGGAGCAGGGATCAGAGAGGATAAGGTCGTATTTAAAGGGACCGCTTTGGTGAGAGAATGGTCTGTGATTGGTGGGTGACAGACGAGCAGCCATAAACCTATCAGAAGCTGTCAGTCTATGACAGCTGAGCACATGACTCCATGTCCTGCATGAACTAACACGATGCTTCATTTTTTCATATTCATTGGTCGAACAGTGCAGAGGTTATGTTGTCATTGTTGTTTCTTTGTTTCTTTGTCAGCAGGTTTGAGTGAAGTCTAATGAAAAAGACTTGATGGAAGATGGACCAAGACAGAACTCATTCAATTTTGCTGCGGATGATGTTTTTATGTTTGTATTTGGTCTCACAGCTTGTGTGTGTTTATGTTGTTGAAGGAACACATCACACTGGAAAATATTTACCTCATGATGTAGTTACTGGATTTGTTGGTTTAGGCTTAGACTGTGACTGGGGCATGTATCGGCTCTCTTGGCCAAAACAGGATAATGTTGTGACTTCCTGGGTTAACTGGGGCCAATATGTGATAAACAGCAAGTAAGACCCACCAGCTGTGGATCAGCTCCTCTCCTCTCCTCCACTGGATGCTTGGAGTCGGGTACCCAGAGGCAGAACATTCCAGCACAGCATCAGTTCCCAGCAGAGACATGACTCTGGATGGACGCTGGAGGAACTGGAGGTTCCTGCTCACCCCAGGTTCTGAGAGAGAGATTCAGAGAAGAGGGAGTAAAAACATGGTCTGACTTATGTCTCATCATTGCAGGTCATCTGTCCCGACCACAGACATTTAGAATAGTTTGTAGAAAAAGCCAATTTTCTGTTGATTGTCTCATTTGCTGTAGGTCATAAAGAGGCAGTGATATTAAAATAAGACTGTTTCATAACCAGTTAAAAAATCCTCGTAGAGGCTTTAAAGAAGAAACAAAATGAAAAGACAGAAGAAGGAGGGTAAACACCCACACAGTCGGATTTTCTTGTTGTTGGTTCCACAGAGAGTGAGGGATGACAGAGATAATGACTGAACGACAACGTGACGACTTTTATTTCTAGCAACACGCTGCTTAGGGTGGCTGTTATAGCAAATCTGATGCTGCCAGCATCACAGCGATGACACAAAAACATACGCAGAAAAACACACAACACACCATTTATTATTTTAATTCATTTGCTTTTTCATTCACTTACTCACTCATTCATTCATTCACTTATTCATTCATTCACTCATTCACTCACTCACTCAATAATTTATTCACCCATTCATTCACTCATTCACCTCTGAGTCCATTTGATAAAATCTTTATGGAGTCAGAATCATTCAAGCTTAATCCATCTGATCCTTTAAAAGGAATTAAAGCCTCGTCATGTAAAAGCTTCCGTGTGGAAACACAATGAGAAATACGCTTCAAGTTTTAAAGTTAACCGGAACTTTTTTATCTCATATGTTAACTCACTTCATAACTTCAAAACATTTTAATGAACACGCTGCAGAGAGTTGGTGAGTTTTGCACAGTAAAGAGATTTAAATGAGACAGGCTGCTTTTTTAAATGAGGATTAACTGTGTTCTGTGTGAGTCTGTGGTCTCTCTGTGATTATCCTGCTGAAGGTCGACCCTGATCTCCAGGGACGGAGTGAAAGTGCAGCTTAAAGTTTAAGTTAACCTGTAATCTGACTGAATGAACTTGTTTACTTGGACGGTGAAAACATCAGCGGCTCCCTGCAGATTTTATTAAATCACATTTCACTCATTCATTTTCACTGTGTGAGGGACTGAACCTGACAAAGAGTTACCCTAACCCTCAAAGTGATAACTGCTGGATCAGTAAAGTCACCGTTTAGTCAAAGTGTTGGAGCGGCTGCTGAAGGTGAATAAAATAACGAACCTTTTAATCTGTCCCATGGTTCAAACTCTTACAGTTTTAAAGAATCCATTTTAAACTCAGAAGGTCGACTTATTGATAAATTGAAGGAAAGGTGGACTTTGAACAAATATGGCATCAATGAACCAAGCAGCCACATGTTTAGAGAACATCTTTCCATCACCTGGGAGCACTCGCAGCTCGGCGTCCGATCCCGTCCTGGTGCTGCCAGGGTTGTCGGCCAAGCAGCGGTAAGTGGCTGAATCCGGTGGCTGGACACGGCTGACCTGCAGCGAGCCGGACGGCAGCACCGCTAGACGGGAGTCGGGGTCAAAGGCCCCCGGCAGGTCCTCCCGGTTCTTCTGCCAGCGGATGATGGGTGTCGGGTCTCCGGAGACCTCACAGCGGAGAAGTGCTGTGTCACCGAGGTATGAGGAGACCGACTCAGTGGGGACGACCACCTTCAGAGGTCCTGGAGGGAGACGAGAGGGGGAGGACAAGTGGATTATGAACTGAGCAGGACAACAGATGAGATTCACACAGACAGACAGACAGACAGGGATAGTGTGGAGGGGCAGCATCCAGCCCACTGTGTTTACGACACACGCTGTTTCCTGTTAGCTTGCGTTCACTTGAACAGAACAACAGCCTGAAGCTGCATGAACACACAACCGACATCCGACTGCTCAGCTCTGGAAACACTTATTATCTCCAGCTCATGCACGGCTACGTTTTAATTTCAACATGGCTGCCAGGGCCTCAGGGCTGATTAACTCCACTCTGCAGGAATTCAAGAATTCAATAAAGACGTACATTTTTTGAGCTACACACACACACACACACACACACACACACACACACACACACACACACACACACACAGGTTTTGTCACTTGTGAGGGCGCTGCATTGACGTAGATGTCCTTCCTTTACGGTCCAATTGTGAGCGAGACATCTGCTTATTGTCCCGTGTTTGGAGTCCATAGTCATAAGGCTGGTGTTCAAACAGACCCATGAGATTAGTACATGATATGAAGTACTCATGCAGTACAAATACATGCAATAAAAACAGTGAAACTGTTATTAAACCAATTAAAGATATTAGAATGGCATCCAAAGAGCAAGTCTTCAGTTGTCTTCACAGATGATCACATGGACTTCCCTAACGCGAACAATTCTTTTCACATCCACATCCAAGAAGTAATTATGACTGTGAATCCATCTGAAAGGTCATAAATACTTTTAGGATTTTCATATTTATTTTCATTGAATTAAATGTATCTATTTGTTTATTTACTGCTTCTAATTTTGTGACAATGTAATGTCAGTCGAGCAGCTAATGAATCAGACTGACATGGAGTTTCTTTTTAGTTGGAACTTATCTGACAACATGTTCTCTGAAACAGAGTGAGCGTCCCCTTGAGAAGCTGACAGTGATCTTCAGTCAGAGAGCAGAGTCTGATCACACAGAATGAAACCGAGGGAAACAGCATGAAGGAAAGTCAGAGAAGAGGAGAAATGGGTCACAGCATCAAGAGGAGAAATTGAAAATGAACATCACAAAGAAACTACATGAGAAGGAGCAAAGTGTGAAGTAGAAGAGGTCCTGATGAGACAGGAGTGAGTCTTATTCTCGTTCTTTCAGAAGCAGTAAGCTGAGCTCAGACTCTGGTCGTTCTGTTTTAGAAACTCTTGTTTTGTAGAGATGCTCCAAACACCTCGAATCGGAGAGAAGCTGAACTGAGTAGAAAAATCTCCAGATCATGGAGTCGACTGCTCATGTGCACAATACATCTCAGTGCTCATATCTGAGGATGTGCAGAGCCAACACACTGAACAGATGCAGGATCACTGCAGTCATGATGCAAAGCTAAAAGCTAGCATATTTGTGACCTCAGGATTTAAACCAACAACCTCCACATTCTTCTAAAAACAAATGAAAAAAACAGCATGTCATTGATTTCCATGGTGGCTGTTGCTGTTTTCATCCTCATTAGAAAATGGGCCAAATAACTGGAACGGATAATAACATGCAAATCACAGCAAACAGGCGAGAGCAGTGGGTGGGATCGGGCATCCTCCTGCTCTGCATCTTCTCCTGGGAACGATTATTATCTGCTTCTGTGGGTTGAGCCTCACTTCTCCTCGCCCCCATTAATTGGGATTCGTCCAAATCCTCAGAGTCAGCAGCTAATTGAGGATGGTTGGATTGAAGGCCATTTTGTTTCTCCCTCTACCACTTTGAATTCAGGGGTCTAAAGACGATAGCTCCTCTTTGGAGAGGCTGGGAAATATCCACTCTCTGGGAGACATCTGATCTTGACATGAGAAGCTGAATCTTTGGAAAACACGGACAAAGAAATTATAACAGCTATGGAATATTCCAGTGGAAAAACTCCATTGTCTCCACACTCTTCCTCATTGAGGTGACTGTAACTAACATTACTGTAACTGTAAGATAAGATAATCCTTACAGTCCCACAGTGGAGAAATGTAACGTTATCACGTCATTAGCTTTCTATAAATGTTGTATTTCTGGTTGGTTTCAGGTGTTTCAGTGAGACTGTGGATGATGTTCTTTCAAACGAACGTACAGTTAGAGACAAAACCTTTTCCACCACAGTTATTCAGACACGTTCAGTTGTTGCTCATCACATTAACAATGACAAATACCTCCCGTATCAATAAGAACAATAACTGTACTAATCACTCTCTCACTCTATATTCCTGTTGCTCCTCTTCTTCATCTTCATCTTTCTGTACGCCCCTCTCCATCTCAATGTTCAGTGTCTCTAATTAATTCCCTGTTTACACACACACACACACACACACACACACACACACACACACGGAGCCAGACTGCTAATTGAATTTTTAAGCCTCTGCTGTTCATTAGCATTTTGCCTTGTAATGTGTTGTGTACCAGTCTGTGTCTCTGTGTGTGTGCGTGTGTGTGTGTGTGTCTGTGTCTGTGTGTGTCTCTGTGTGTGTGTGTGTGTGTGTGTGTGTATGTCTGTGTGTGTCTGTGTGTGTTTGTGTGTGTGTTTCTGTGGGTCTGTGCGTTAGCTAAAGAGAGAGAGTGTGTGAATGACATACAAAGAGAGCGAGCTAATTTAAACTGTCATTCAGGGATCAGGGTGAAATGATTGAATTTGAATGTTATCGTTATTATTTTTTTATTATTATTATTATTTTATGTTTGTCGTGATTTTTTTCCATCATTGGCTGTAGAATATTTTTTTAGGTTCTTATGTTTCCTGATTATTTGAACTAATAATGTTATTATTTTAGTTATGTTATGTCTTTGCTTGTACTGTTCCTAAATGTCACTGGTTGTTTCCAAAATAAAAAATCCATCCAATTTATTAAAATAATTCATACAATCATACGCATGTTCAACCAATCCAGAGTCAGTATCAGCTGTCAATCATGACGTCTCAGCCTGTTTTATGTCATCAAATAACACCAGGGTTAAAGTTATCATCATCTTTAACAAACATTTATTTAACGTCTACTGATTTTTTAGTTTGGTCCCATCTGCTAATATGGAGGAGGGTGGGTTAACGACCTAGACTGCAGCCAGCCAACAGGGGGTGATCTAGATGATTTGGGAGCCATCATGTCATCCATCTGTATTTACAATTTATAGATGGTAGTGTTTTCATAGAAACATAAACACAACGGTGACGTCAGCCACATTAAGGGTCAGGGTGCTTTAGTTGATTAAAGCACAGACTGTGGAGGTTGAACCTCAGTCGCTGACATCTCAGACATCTTTCCCACATAATCTCCACAATCAACTCGATCCTGACTCTGTTTTCGTTGCTGCTGGACTCTGACTCGTCTCACGTAGACGGAAGTGATCTTTACTGCGGCCCCAGTTTAAAAGAGCAGCTTATGGGAGGCACCAGAGAAAGAGATGTTAAAGTCCTGCAGTGAAAAAGATTTAGAATACGGTGAGGCAATAAACCCTGAACACAACAAACTTACAACCTCACACACACACACACACACACACACACACACACACCTCCCTGTGAGCTGCAGCTGCTGGTCCTCTGTCTCTTTAATGGCTCTAATTGACTGGGAGGATGGAGTCACTCCAGAGACCAAAACACTCAAACACAAAGAGCTGAGCGAGCTAAAGAGACGACCAGCTGATACACACACTGTGGTATTGAGTGTGTGTGTGTGTGTGTGTGTGTGTGTGTGTGTGTGTGTGTGCGTGTGTGTGTGTGTGCGTGTGTGTGTATGTGTGTATGTGTGTGAGTCTCAGTATTGATCAGCGACTGTCATTCATGTTTCCATCTGCAACAAACACTAAGTTCTGTGTAAATTCAGATTAATTTTAACTGAATAAAAGCTTTCTCATAAAATGTTTTTACAGAACTCAAACACTTAATTGCATCTTACAAATAAAGTATTTAAATATAAAGTATTTACTTTAAATATAAAGTATTTAAATATAAAGGGTCTTTTCTGGGATAAAGAAAACTGCAATTCATTCGATTTAGATGAAACAAACTATTGAAAACATCATGAGGATTATTCTAGATTTATATTTCTGCCTCTAGATCCTTTCACCTGAATCTTACACACTGGAGCTTTAAATGTGATTTCATGAGTGGACAGTGTTTGAGTAAACACTCTACTGAGTGAGTTTCTAGTTATATATCTGTAGATAGGTGAATTACTGCAGGTGACCAAGACCAAGTCACCGGGGGTAGGTTATGAATTCATTTGTATATTGATTTATTTTCTGTTGTTCTATGCAATAATAAAAAGAGAGTTGAAATCCCTCAGAGCATCACTCAGATTTCTCTTCAGTGCAGTGTCGGTGGAGGTGAAGCACTTTAGCTGCTCCATCTATTAATTTCTTTCATAAACCGTATTGATCCAAAGCCACACTCCACAGAATGACTTTACTGTGCTTCTCTTCAATGAAAATGAGCGGGGGGGAGGGGGTTAGAGACATTCACACAGTTGAGGAATGTCCTAGATTTTAAAGGCGAACTTGTCAAAGACGCATGAAGTCACATGGATGACGCTCATCACACCAGTGCACGTAAAGCTGACAGTGTTTGCTTGTAAGTAGACTGAGAATCAGCTTCCTCTGAGAATTGAACTGATTAGTTTGGGAGCTGACACAATCATTTGTATACAAAGTAAACACAAAGGATGAGCTGACACATCTACTCTACTACGTCCTACAGTTTCAGGAAGTGTTGAGTTGAATTTAGACGTAGACGTAGTTTTAAGTAAATATTTGAAGGGTAACAAAGGGTGAGTGGAGTTCTCTTCCGTTGTGTAGAAGAAGAATGTGGGAACATTGTGGGAACTGTTGGTTTCTCTGTAACTTTAAGTTCTGGACCTTCTATGTGAAGAGCCTTGAAATGATGTATATTGTGATTTCATGCTATACTAATAAAATTGAATTGAACAGTCTCTTACCGGCCACAGTCACCTTGGCAGTTCGACTTACGATGCTCCCCAGTCCGTCCAGCGTGGCCAGGCACTGGTACACCCCCTCGTCTGGCCGGTGGTGCCGCGAGTGCACCACATTCTGCACCAGCAATGAGCCGTTATCCAGCTGCCGCCGCCGCTCGTCCACCACGGCGCTCAGCAGCACGCCGTCTTTACGCCACATGATGGTGAGAGGACCCATCACTGCGTCAGACTGTGCCTGGCAGTCGAGCTGCAGAACGCCTCCTCGCACCGTCACCGTGTCCTGAGGCTCCTGCGTGAAAGTAAAGTCCACAAAACCTCCAAGACTGGAAAAGGAGGAGGAAGATGTGGAAGTGTCTGAGGCTGTGGGAGGAGAAGGAGGAAGAGAAACATGAGGTTAGTTTATGAAAGTGGATCATACAGGAGGAGGTGTCACATTCACTACAACACAACGAATGAAACATCAGTAAACCTGGAGATGTGGAAACATATGTATATAAAATGAAAGGTTTCTGGGCCTCTGACACTGAGGAGCCCAACACGTCCCTGATTCATTCTGCACTGGGAATGTGATTCATCCTAAATGTGAAATGAATAAACAGCAGCATCATCATTTTAATGGACACAATAACAAGTAGAAGGATCTTTCACAGAGTCAGTTAGTCAGTTAGTTAGTCAGTTAGTCAGTCAGTCAGTCAGTTTGTTAGTCTGTTAGTTAGTCAG